ATAGTTTCGAGTGCATCTCTCGCGTCGTAATAAATATAGGCTTTGCCCAACAAAAAAATTAAAATTGACGTATTTATCATTGTGAGCACAAAACTTGGTATAGAGCTGGTATACTCTCGACGTACCGTTGGTGAATTTTACCCCTACTTATAGGAGCAAGCGATGAATTTAAAAAAGGTGGATGAACAAAATGAAAAAAAGAGCTGAAGGCGACGCGAAAGACTTTTAAGGTAATCTTCTTTGCTGGCTTATCGAGCTTGGCGATCGGCATTTTATTTGGCACTTGCTAATGGCCCTCTCGATCGCCACAATAAACGACAAAAGGCGCGCGAGACAAAATACCCGCTGCACGTACTTAAATAATTGACGCGCGGCTGCTTGCGGATGCGCGACATAATAACAATGCGTCAATATCGATTCAGCATAATTGTTATACGTGCCCGCGTTTAAGTGTATATGTGTGTGTATTAAAGCGCATACATGTATTCAGAGCTGCTGCACGATGCACAAACAACAAGGCATATCGGACAAAAAACGAGGCAGCTGAACCAAGGGCCAAAATCCTGGAGAGAGAGACAGAGAGTGAGTGAACGAGTGAGCGAGAGAGGCAAAGAGAGAGAGAGAGACTCGCGCGCCACGTCGGGTAATATAATCTTTTGTCGGTGCAAAATCATAATTCGCTTCGGCTCTGGGACCGCATCTCCGCTTTTGCTCCTCTGTTCGCGTTGGCCATCTCTTCTCTCTCTCTGTGCATCATCACAATATATATACACGCGTGCGCAGCGCGCGCGGAACACAAAAGCTTTCTTGCTCGCTGCTCGTTCTCTCTCTCTCTCTCTCTCTCTCTTGGAGCTCTTTCAGAGACGCAAGGGCAAGAGAAACAAAAAAGGGCACGAGGTCCAAAGACGGATTTCACTGATAAAAACCGTACTTAACTTTAGTTAACCAGATGTTCATTGGACTTACTGCCCTCGAGGTCGAGTGCTATGCACAGCCGCCGCTGCGCGGACCAGTGAAATGCACCGATAGCAACAACAACAACAACAACGGCGGCGGCGATGGCAAATAAAAAAAACTTGACGCATCATCATCGGATGGTGCCGTATCGAGAGCTCCTATACACATAGGCTCGCGCGTCTGCGTTAGAGCTCGTGGGCATTGGTGTTGTATACACACTTAGCTCTCGCTTTTTTTCTCGTTGCGATCGCGCATTTACGTCGACTTTTACTAGCACTCGAGCGCGTGCAAGCGTTGCGGTAATGCGATTTTACGCGTCTGTTTTAGCACGCTATGTACTGCGCGCGCGATATACACACCACGCGGAGCTCCATATACCTATATACCTTTTCCGCCTTGAGCAGAAAGCAGGGCAAAACGTGTTATTTCAATTTCAACTGCGTAGCACCGCGCACCGTACGTATTGTACTACAAGTGCGCGCACAACTGAAACTTACCCTGTCCAAGCTGCATTAAAACACGCCTTTGCCCATGAGATTCCGAGAAGTCTGCCAGGGCATAAAATAAAGGGGCATTATTATTGACGAACGAAAAGTCATGCATCTGCACTTATTTTCGATCGCGTAAATGAAAAACTCGACGATGCGTGTGCAACACCGGATGTTACTTGAGATTCAATTCATCGTTTGCAAATTGTCACAGATATTGCTCACGCCAGACTCGATTTTATTTAGACAAGTGTATTTAAACAGAGAAACTCTACCATTGAAACGTCTTCTAACGTGCGAGTGTTGCAAAAATAAATTGAATTCGCAACCATTTCATATAGTTTACGTAAATTATTATAGCGCTTACTTCACGAAAGAAACTGAACGCATATTAATACAAAGGATCGTCAACGAGGCATTAATCGAATGCAAAAGTAGAGCTGGGCAGTAGCGATACGTTTGCATGATTAACATTTTTCAACACTCTCGGTCTCACATCATTATCCCACATACTAATTTATCAATAAATTACGGGAAAGTTTTGCAACGGGTAGTGCGCTATATTATACAATTTTTTTTTACATAATCTAACAATTATAAGCGACCGACTAGCAGTGTAACAAGACATGCGTAATGTACACCTCGCTACACGCATGCCCTACATTGTCATTAAGAGAGACAGAAAAAAGCTCGATACGACATACGACTTTATTTATTTATTTATTCTTCAGCTTTATCTGAACGAGCTGCGTTGCATAGCTTATAGGCTCGCTGCGACGCGACGACATGTACGCATATCGGAGCAATCCATATCGGTCGCATTAAGCGCAATAGCTCCTTTTCATAAGATTTGTCTCACGTATGTATGTATGTATGTATGAAGGCGATCGTAAGAAAAAAGACAAGCGATAAAATAATAAAAATGACCACGTGCATCGGTGGACATTGACGCGGGTAATTACACATCTGAGCACTCGGATCGCGGCTCTCTCTCTCTCTCTCAATATAATATGTGTTACAGAAGAGACAGCAGAGCGAACGTATTATAACTGTTTGGCTCGTTCCAAGCGACTGGAAGCAAAAAAATATCGAAGGGGGAAAAAATATGCACAATAAGAAACAATGACAAGCGATAAGACATGCGTACGTGGACGTAATATATCGCGCATAGATCAGAAGGTGCGTTATGGCATCCGCGTACTCGAGCGGGCGCAGGGGGAAAATACCGTCGCGTACCAGCGGCAACGGCAGCAGCGACGCAGAGTGTCCTCGACGCAGAGTAAATGGTCGCGCCAGGAAATCGACCAATATAATAAGTAGCATGCAGAGCAGCAGCAGCAGCATACGCCCGTTATAATATATACGCGTGCATGCGAATGCGTTTGCACAATGTGTGTGTATACTCGTGTGCGTGTGTGTGCTTGTACAAGGGCGACGTCTCTCTCTCTCTACTAGTGGCAAGCAAGCGAGAGATAAGCGGACGCACTTGCGCCGTATAAATATATGCGAAATGAGAAGCAAAGCCGAGCGGGAGAGGAAAATGCGACCGGACGAGAGCCCGTGTACAGAGAGAGAGAGAGAGAGAGAGAAGCGTTTTGCATCATGGCCTGGTATAAGTAATAGCCAAACCGAGTAGCAGCAGCAGCCTATACGTATATATCTAGTTAACTGGATGTGCATATAAGCGCTTTTGTCGTGATTTTGTTTTTAATTATGAACATGGGCGGTCTTTCTGCTCTCTCGTGTAGCTGCATTCTTCCATATGAGCTCGCCAGCCAAAGATATATATTATCCATGCGCACGGGAAAGGTTGCTCGCCGCGATGTTTTGTTACACTTGTAGAGCCAGGCAGCCGTCGTTTTGCATTTTTGATAGCTTATTATAAGCGATAGATAGACATGTCTTCTTGTAGCTCCCACACTGATATTGCCGTATAGAAAGAATGTCCTCGGCTCAACATGTACTTTGGATTACCTGCGTTCATTCAAGCATCCAATATCGATCGTACTCCGACGATTTTCGATGAAACGATTAAAACGAAATATATTTTTGAAATTATGTAAATCTGACGGAATTTTGACACATATATAGTTGTATTATACTCGAAACAATAATTCTGTACTCGAGAAAGTCCGCGTAATAAGCAGACGATTTTCGACGAATGAAACTTATTTTCCAGCTCTCGATCCCCTCATCTTCCTCTCGCTTTTTTACGCAATCGTTACGATATTGAATAAAATGTATAATCGCAACAAAAATTTCTCGCAAACAATAAACATATTCGTTACTCCTATCAAAAAACGTTTACTAGTGTGATTTTTCTGAATCATCGGTAATTGAAGTAAGAAATTATACATGTAACAAATATTTGAAAAGTAGAATAGTAGCGATCGGGGCAAAGCAATCGAACTCTACTACGTGGCGTAGTCATAAATTTCGATTCACAAGTGACGAATATTGATCCATATAGGTGCCAGAGAAATTAACGCGAAGGCGTATACGTGTTCACTTTGGTACATATCACGTCGAGCTGTTGCTCCCCTTTATATTCTCTCCCAACAACAATAGATATGTGTAGAACCGAGGCTAATCGACGATGCGTCGGTTGCTGCTGCCGCCTCTCCTCCTCCTTCTACCCTTCTAGTCGATCAGGGGCTCTCTTTCTCTCACTATATATCTGATCTATGAAAGAGGGTGAACCATGTGCGCATACGAGGGTATTATGATCTACATCCATAACCGAGCGACTTTGGACAATGCGATCGTGTGCATATGAGAACATTTTTGTAAATATATTTTTGTATATTTACTTTGAACGAAAATTTGCATTCTCTGCGATGTATAACCCCTCGATTTAATGAAATATGTAATTAGCATCAAGAGAATAAAATTTATATCATTTTTCTCAATGTAAATCGCTAATGAAAGATAATAACTCTTCATTAAAAACATCTGTTCCTCTCGGTTTCAGTAGTAATGGCGTTAGTTCATCAATTTTCCTTCCGTTCGCACTCACTTCCATACACGCATGGGGCAAGAGCGTTTGTACTTTATTCAAAAGCTAAAAACACAAAAAATGGAAAATTTAATTTAGTTCGATCAGCGAGCACTAAATTGTTCCCTAAAATGTGGATAATTAATGGCACATAGCCCTACTGTTTTAATTCTAATAACAATATTTCATTCGTTTTTGTTTGTATGAATATGGATGTCAATAAAACTAAATTCAGTGTCGACTCAATATTTAGCTTTGTACGAAAATTTGTTTTATGTACTTGTGGATTTGAGTGTGACATCTAACTGTAGAACTTCAAACTACACAGGGCACATCATCATAAACTATCTTCGTGTTGTTGATGCAATTTGAACAATAATTATATTCAAAGCTTGTGTTTTATTATTCCCAGAATTATTATTTCAGTTAAAAGACCTAAGCTTTTTTTATAATTTATCAATCTAGGAGATTCATAAGTTATTATATTGAAACTTTATTTATACGTATAAATCACAAATAAAACAAGCATATCAATCTTTTATATCTTTGTAATAGTTATTTTTTGTGACTAAATATTTCACTTCTAACCGTCATTTTAGAGGATTCTGAAAATTTGCTACTGTCGAATATTGATACATGTGTAATTTCCGTTATTGCTGTGTCAAGACGAGTTTATTCTTCATTTGCAACACAGTCTCCAGCAAAGCATATCTAGAAAAAATAGAAATATCGTATAGTTTTTAATTTTATACTCACCGAATTTTTATGTATTTACAGGTGCATTTTAACTTACTTTGTCTTCACCGCAGCTCGTACCATCTAATGGAGGAAGAGGAAAGTCTACATTTCGTTTTTGGCCATTGTATATAATGGAGCATGGTTGAGTATAACATTGCTTTAACTGATTATCTACAGTCTATGAAATATTTATATTTAAATTTCAATTTATCAATAAAATTTATATCTAAAAAAATTATGAACTTACGACATCTGCAAATAAAGAGGGGGCCCCAAAACGATTTTGATCCTTGCACTGTTGATCTCGAGTAGTGAAGAGACCAGGTAAGATTCGTGGGTATGGTGTGCCAATGTTTGGTTTATTTTTTAAACATTGAGCTCTGTCACTTCTACAATTTAATACATCATGGATCATCGATTTTTACAAATATTAAGGTTAATGCATGTTTTAAAAATATTGAATAAATACTTAAAAAATGTGCGCATATCCCGAATGCTGCATTCAGACCATGTAAATGCATTTCTACCTCGGTTTCCACTCATAACGTGTCCAGCATTTGCGTGACAACTTTTAGCAGTTTCTTCTCCATCATGCTGAGCTCCAAACCTATAAAATTAACTGTCTTTTTAGTTCTGCTTATATATTTATAAATTGATAAATGTATATTTGTTGATAATTACAGATGGCCAAGCTCATGAGCGGCACCAGCAGCAATCCAATAGTCATTTTCACGTTTTGGTCTATGAGTCATTATTGCTGTCGACCATTTGCCAAAACACGCTCCGCCAATTCCACCCAAACCGGCACCTTCTTTCAAGAACCGACTAAAAAAATACTTTAAGTTTAAACCGCTGAAACAATTAATGTTCAAAAAAAATTTTCTAATCGACTAACTTAGTTAAAAGCATGACAATGTCGTATGAGTTGCGTGGTATCTCTTGTGTACTATTCAAGTTTTCGAAAAAGTATATTCCAGCTTGTTTCATGGCTTCCAAAGGTTTTGGATCACTTACTTTATCGCCAATAGTATTTGTAAGATACGGTACAGCATTCGGATTCTAAAGCAAAAATATAATTGAATATTTTTTAAATAATTGTACAAAAGATACTTAAAATTTTTAGTAAGCTCATGTACCGTTGGTATGACAACACCAGCCAAATGAAGTCTTATATGAGGATCTTTCCATGTTCGATATCTCAGATCCACTACATTCCAAAATCCTGCCATTGAGTGGGCAATTTTTTCTATATTCTTATCGTATGCTCTATAAAAGATATATAAGAAAACCGTTTAAAAAATGATAGGTAAATATTTTTTTTAATGTAAAATTCTTACATATAATTTTCGTAATCCAGTACAGCAAGAATTTGTGGATATAAAGTATCCGAACCTAATGTTGATTTTATTTTGGTTTCTACGATTTTAAAAGTAATATGATCATAGATTTTGATAATAATGGAAATTCTGTCAAATGAATTTACATAACAATAACGTTATCTTACGAGATTTTTGATGCGTTGTACTTTGTGATTTCGGACTAGGTACAGGCTAAAATTCAAGTAATAATAAAAATTTAAACGATTTGACTTTGATAATGAATTAACTTTACTTACGTAAGATAAGATTTTATATTTTATACTTCCATATTGATCTGATTCTGCAAGGTACAATTTACTGTTACTTCCTAACAGAACTCTATCTTCCTCTGGTTCTTGCAAATAGATATCATAGTCAAAAGTTTCTCTACCAATATACTCTTCTTCGGTAATCCAAGCCTGAAAAATAACAATTACTTTGACCAACTTTTGGGGATGTCAATTGTTTATTAAACTTAAAACACTATTCAACGTATTAATAATAGTATAAAGTAATAAATAAAACTTTTAGTGAAATGATAAAACCTTTTAAATTTACCAAAGCATTGTGTAATAAAAGACTGATATTAGTTAGGAACAAAAAATAATTAAACAACATTTGAATAATATTTTACTTGTCAATTCTTTAAAAGTATGTTCTCGACTCAATTGCTACAAGTTTAATTGAAACGAACAACTGGAAATTTACAATAATAAAATATTATTTATAGTTTAGTCGTGAAAATCATTCAAAGTTTTATTTGCTCACCGAGGCGTGATATATTATTGCTCACTAGTCAGTGATAGAATAAGGAAAAAAGGAAAAATTGTATAATAGTTACACATATTCAATACTTATCTTTGGTAACTTGCTTTGACTTGTAATATTATAATGCAATTCGTCGTAATTATAGGAGTGTTTCGAGAAATGTGAATACCACCATGAGATTATTCCAAAAGCTTCAGTAGATGCACTAGTGAAGATTCGATCGATTGTAACAAACTCCATGATTCTCTTTATATGTTGGTTTACAGACGAAACGTGAATGTGAAAACCGCGCGTTAATTAAAACCGGATGCATTTCCTCGTTTCCGAGACGTCGGTGACGTATATAGTTAATATCAAGTCATTATATAACGACCATCGGCATCAATCGACGAGCGGTATATAGAGGCAGCACTAGAGAGAGTGAGAGAGAGAGAAAGCCAAGCTCACGTTTCGCTAATTAAAAGGCGTCATAACGAATGAGGGTGATTCTGCATGTAGCAACAGCAGCAGCAATGGCTGCACACGATATGCCCATACTAGTACACTATAAGCGAAATTTGCTCCTAAATTCCGCTTACTGCGCCGGGCTAACGCCAACGAGAGCCTGAGAGACTATTATTTCACCCCGCACTCCTCATCCTATATATGTAGACTGCATAGGTATAGTAGCGGGTATTACTGGCTGAGAGGGAGGCAAGGGGGTAGCAAAAGAGAGAGAGAGAGAGAAAGAGAGAGCGAGGTGAAATATCAGTCACGTTACTTTGAATGTGTTCATATTTCAGCAAGTTCGGTAGTTGCCCCTCTGCTATTGCGTGGGTGTAAGCCGCAACGCTTTTTCCATGTACATTGTACATGCGTGAGTTTCGACCTCGAATATATATACTGGCGCGGATATAAGCAGCTGCCGCTGCTACCGAGCGCGAGAGGAAAAGAGTAAGAGAGCGAGAGAGCAGAGGTAAAGGAATAAAAGTCGCTAGGTTTGTGCTGTTATTGCCAGTTATGACGACTTCGTTAGCTACGCAAAGGCACGAGACGTCGTCGTGCATCGAAGCAAAAGGGAGCGCGCCGAAATCATTTGGAAAAATTTCGCGGCGCACCGACAAACGAGATCCTTTTGTGCGCACTGCGTATATAGGCTTACTCGGAAAGGTACACGTACCTAACGGGTTTGTCGTTCCTAATGAGATTGCTGCCGATGTCACGGTCGAGAAATGGCTTTGGTGGTGTGTGGGCGACCCGCTGATTCGCTCCTCGCTGTACCGAGCCGAAATGAGGAAATACTGTTATAGCGCTTTCCACCCTAGCTGCTGCTAGTGTCAACGTCCGGAATGTTTCTCTGATTTCGCCGAGATTAAAGTTAAATATTAGACGTGGCCTTGAATATTACGCGCATTATTATGCGCGATCGATAAAGCTCAAATTAAAAGTTTTGCAGTGCGTCGCGCCGCGATGCATTTTACTCGCGCGCATCTTTTCACCCAGAAACGTGAAATTGAAAATACGAATGAAAATGCTAGAATGACCCAAAAACGTGGACACCTCATTTTCGTTTGCATGTATTCCGTTACTGGCGACGTTTTTCCGCCATGCTCGCGCACCCATAGTGATTTCATTTATTCAGAAAATGCATAATAATGCCTCTGGGTACTCTCTCTCTCTAACTGAGAGTGCTTTTGTGCCATTATCATAGTTGAACACAGCAATGCTGAAATTCATATTGAACGGGGCAAGAGAGGGACATCGTACCCTCGTCAGGAGAGAAAAGTAAAGAGTATATGTATACATTGTGTGTACACCTATACAAATGGGCGAGAAACATCTGCAGAGCGCGAGAAATGGTGATTATTCTGTATTCTGACGGTAGAAATTATAGTGGAAAAATATTACGAGTACAAAACGCAGAGTAATTTCAAAAACTCCACTTACGGACTTATACTTTGCCATATTGAGTACGAGTGCGCGAGCGAGCATAAGGCGCATTTTTTGCTGGTAACTTTCGAAAATTTCCGTTTGAGCCGCTTTGAAAACTAGAAAGTGAAAAATAATTATAATACCGAGTCAAATGATGCATTCTGTTGCATGTCATCTGCTGCTGTTGCTTTTTGAATTGCTTGAGCTACAGAGCCTGTTACAAGTACGAATGGCAGTGCGCGCACATTTTCAATATTTCGCGAGGGAAAATCACGAGACCACTTTTGAAAGCATGCAACAACGCGTCGAGGCCCTGGCAATGAATGTGCCTGCGCAGGGCCTCGGTATAGAACCCTTCAACGTCTGAAGTCGAGCTTACACACAAAGTGAAAATTAACCCGCGATGTCAGCAGAAGCATTTGAAACGGCGCAAAAGTACAAGAGGCATCGCAAGTCGAAACCTCACATATAAATTCTTTCTTTCGTTTCGGTTCTTTCTTTTCCTCTCTTTCTCTCTTACTCTTTCTCTCTCGGCACACATCACGAAAGAAGACGTGGGTATGTGTTCGCGTCTGGGTAAGCAGCTTGCGCAGCTAAAGTATGTTACATGTACCACTAACAAACTCTATTGCTGCGCTGCTGTGTGCTACTCGAAACATCCATACTCGCTTTCTAAGCTATGTAGCAAAGCAAATAAACGGATTCTTTTGCACTGATGATGATACTCTGCAAAGAGAGGATGAGAAAGAAAGAAGATTTGCTCTTGGAACTTTCATTACAAGCTGCTGCTGCTGCTGCTACTGCTGCTGCTGATGTCAAGCTATTACAAAGGGGCAGCAATATTCTCACTATATCTGTAGAGCACTCACGATGTGATAGTGTACTCCATCGATTCGATTGTAGAAACGAACCTTTTCTCCCGCTCCCCGTCCCCATGAGTGTCTCCTTCGATTGGCGGCTCAACGTTGGCTGATTGGATTTGTGCTCGGACACGGCACAGAGCCGCACACAAACCAAACATCGGCCCAGTCTACGTGCCTAGGCTCCTACGCATATGTACGGGAAAGCCCAAGGCCGCATACGATAACGAAGATGCATCGAGTAAGTGGATGCGTTGATTTGGTTGTGGCGGCCATGCGTGCGCGCATTGATGGATTGGATACATCGTTATATGAGTGCGCATTGAAACTTAATCACGGTGTAAGGGGTACACGCGCATATAAACGTGCTGCCGAAGATTGACTTTTGACGTTCCAGCTCGACGTTCCAACGCGCAGCATAATTGTAAACTCTTGTTTGGTTTTTCCAAGTGACGCTACTTATGCGGCAGAGAATCAACTATAATAACGAAGCCGAGGGAATTCGATCGATGCTAAACGTATATATTTTATACAGGGTGGGGAATAAATATGGAAACCCCTGGAAATTTCGCAGAATAAGTTGGGAAAAAAAATCAAAAACCTCATATCCGACGTATTTTTTCACGGGGAATCCAATGGTGACCTTGAATTTGACCTTGAACATAACCTATACTCTACGGTGAACCAAAAATCGATTATTCGCACGGTGACCCCCATTTTTTATAACAGATTTGAAAAGAGCACAAAATTTCACGTCAAAATGTACGTTTTGTTTTTTTTTTAAGGTCATTTTGGAGGCAGTACTATTAGAAAAAAAACCCTTACGTGAACTTAATTTTAGGTTAAATTGGGGTTTTATTTGCGTCTGTAACGCCCTTAAAACGACCTTGAAAAAAAAACAAAACATACATTTTGACGTGAAATTTTGTGCTCTTTTCAAATCTGCAATAAAAAATGGGGGTTACATTTGAAAAATCGATTTTTGGGTCACTGGAGCTTGAAGGTCATGTTCAAGGTCAAATTCAAGGTCACCATTGGATTCCCCGTAAAAAAATACGTCAGATATGAGGTTTTTGATTTTTTTTCCCAACTTATTCTGCAAAATTTCCAGGGGTTTCCATATTTATTCCCCACCCTGTATGATGTTTAGGGTGTGTGATTGATTTGATTAGGGCCAGAAACTGTGTTCCAATGTGGCTTGCTGAGTTTGCGTGCGGGCGTATAAATATATGCTGCATATTACATATATGTGGGCTTGTACGTAGTATACGATCGAGCCCACATATATATAATACGGTATTTCTGCCGCAAGGGATGCTGGCTATGATGAAATATATGTATATTATTAATCATTTGATTCGTGTGGGGTGAAATTTAATTTCACTTCTATTTTCAATCGAATCTTTCTTATATTCTTCGGGTTCTATCGCTGCGATATTGTTAGCAATATTCGATGAGTGATTCGAGGCGAGAAAAACAAATACCATAAAAATAGGATTATAGAAATTTAATTTCTTACATTCTTTGTTACTACCCAACTCGTGTAATTCCATTTCGAGCGCCTATAATATTAGGTTTTAATTAGAACGTCAAAAATCATTCCCGAGCGCCCCGTCCAGGTTTTCCGTACATTACGCGAGAGCCTGTGTTATATATACGTATAGATGAAAGAAAAATCAATTCTCATAATGAAATAAAGCAGCGAAGTGAAGAAGCGTGTATACAGGCGCGTCAGCTGTGCTGGATGAAAGAGCAATTTCAATCGTGGCAGAATTTCGCAGTGGCGCACAGCCCAACACAGCAAAGTACATTATAAAATTGACGTTGCCGCTGCTCGTTTATCTGTTGTTTTCTTTTTTTTTTCCTCGGCACATTTGCTTCTCACGCGGCGCAGAAACTTGCCATTTCTAAGAGTTCAGCCACGCGCGTTTGTTTCGATTTGCTCTGACGATTAAAGCGTCAAACAACAGACGGTATGATCGATATGGGCATGTGTGTGTGTAAGTGTGCAAGTGTGTGCATACGCCCGTGTGATTTAATGAAAGTCAAGTCTTGACAAGGTGCTACGCTCTCTACGAAGGGTTGCGGGATCGATTTTGTGCCGACGAGA